CTAATCAGGTCTACACTATCTGTTATCAATATGTTATTATTCAAACCATTCTTTGCTTGATTCTGCTTAGTCTCCATTTGTACATATTTCAGGGAATGTCTATAATTCATTGCATACCTTTCCTACCGAGATCTCAGAGGATGGCAAACTATGCATCATTGATATTGCTGTCATTTTATAGCTTGTAAAATGTGGAAATAGCAGAATTTTGGAGTTGAAGAGATTTGTGAAGAATTTGTGGTATAAAGAGCACAAACTCATGGGTTTCCTTTTGCTTTACCTGTGTGTACCTGTGTGTGTGTGTGTGTGTGTGTGTTTGTGTCGGGGCTCCACATGTGTGGATGTCGGGGGGTACACGTGTGTGGAGGCCAGAGGACAGTCCCAGGTGTCTTTCCTCAGACACTGTCTACCTTTTGCTTTTGAGATAAGATCTCTTACTGGCCTGGAGCTCTTCCAGTAGGTGAGACTGGCTGGCTTCAGAAATCTACCTGCCTCTGCCTCCTTAGCACTGGGACTATAAGAATGTGTCACTATATCCAGTTTCTTTCATTTTTAAGTGGATTCTGAGGATCAAATTCAGGTCTTTATATTTGCAAGGCAAGTACTTTTCTCACTCAGTTATCTCCCATCCCTTCTTTTAACTGTCTTTGATGTACTTCATACATGGTTAATGTTCAGCAATACAGGGTGAGCTCTTTAAGGTAAAATGTAACCAGCTATAATCAGAGGAAATAACAGCTTGTTGGAAGGTAGAAGACAGGTGGTCATTCTGTACATCAACCTCACTGATGGCTCAACTTAAAAATCTCAGTTCTCTCCCCAGATGCAGCCAAGTTGGTCACATGAATCAGTAATCCCAGCACTGAGGAGGCTGAGGCAGGAGGATTAACAGTTCCAGGCCAGCCGCCTCTGTTTAGAAAGAGAGAGACCCTATCTCAAAAACTAAGAAGAGCCATTCCTAGCTGTGCATTTCTTTCCCCTCCTGGTCAAGACAGAGCCTTCTTTTCCCAATTCCCTTGATGTGGGTAAAGTTAAGTATTTGCAACCTGGCTTTTCTCAGGCTACCATCCCAGTTGTGGTGATCACCACACAGGCACAAACATGTGTGTATTGCACACACATGTCCTGTGCCCCCCTACAGAGAGAGAGAGAGAGAGAGAGAGAGAGAGAGAGAGAGAGAGAGAGAGAGAGAGATCCTGGTTGACTTCGAGATCACATCATTTCTCTTTCATACAGATTCCAGCTTCCTTATTGTGGTATTTTAATTGGCTTATGACTGAAGATAATATCCAGAAGACAGTGCTCTGAGCTCCTGACTCGGTCTCCTTTACCTCTTGGCTGGAGGCTGAGGTATAGGTTCTTGCCTTCCTTACAGCACCCATTCTGAGATCCCAGCTCTCCTGCTTAGTTCCACCAGGAAGACAGCCCAGCTGGGAGCCTCTGTGCTCCAACCAGATATACCCCCTTCCCAACACACATCTGAAGCCCAGAGCTTCCCTATCTCCAGCCCATACACTACTTTCTTCCCACAACTGGAACAGAAAAGAACTGTCTGGATTACCTCTTGTTTGTTTGATTTTTTCTCTTTTCTTGTCTTTCTGGCTTCTTTCTTCCATCTTCCTAAGTCATTTGTCAAAACTTGTAAAACCTAATTGTGGACTTATTTCTTCTGCATGATTTCCTGACCTCTGTCATGGTACTTCAAACTGCAGAACCCTGGGTTCGCACAGCCCCCAGGATTGCATGGTTCTCTAACATTGCATGCTGGACTGGCCAGCCCTAGATGTGGCTGGTCCTCTTTCCCAGTTGACAGCTTTCACTTCCTCACCTGTGCATCTCTTTGAGATCCAAGGCACACCAGCCACACAGGTGTCTGACTTGGAAGCCCTTTCCATGGTCCCTATGTGTTTTCAATTTATCGTTCTCAAAAATCATACTTTCACACGTTAGACCTTTTCCTTGGAGTCTAAAACCATGTGGTTCTAGTAGATTCAACTTGGAATGACGTGGATTTGGTGGGAGAAATATCCTCCACACCATGGCAGGTATGACTCTCCACCAATAAATTCAGGTGTGCTAGAAACATCTCTTCTTTGTTTGGGGTTTTTTTCCTTTTGATAAACTTAACTTCTACGAGCCTCCATTCCATCTGATACAATCTAAGATGATTTTCAGTCTTCCCCATATGCATACTAAGGCTTTGAGAGCAGGATGGGACCTGTCTTTGATCTTCCTCCCATAGATTAAACACCTCTCTTCTTTCTGCCCATGGTTTCTTGGGTGTGAGGTCACTCTGTGGAATCTAGTGTCTGGGTCCCTGACTTTGGAACTGTTTACCCTACTGTCTATTTCTTGGGGATGTCTCCCAACAAGAACCTCCTTCGTAGAGATGCACAGACTCCACTCTCCAGTCCTTCATTCAATATCACATTGGAATCAGAGAAAAGGCGTTTCTCCAGTTACTTTCCCTTCTGAGGGTTGAGCTCTTGAAAACAAAGTGAGTATTCCTCAGGCTGCCTCTGGCTTCTTCCCTGTGCTAGCTCTACCCTACAGCAGGGCACTGGAGCTTCTGCCAGTTTGAAAGATGAAAACAAAAGGAGAAAGGATCTTGAATTTATTGATCAAATTATATCCTACCTCTTTAGAAATATAAATAATATTTTATTGCAACAGGCTTATAATTTTTATAATAAATTCAGATACTCCTGGACCCCAAAAGAAATATACCTGGTCATTAAAAACAAAAGTGGAATAGCCAAGATGAAATATACCCTGCTAGATTAGTTACCTAGCTAGAAATAGGATCAGATATGCAGCTAAATAAATAGAACCATGGTGGCAAACAGTAGCAGGATAGATTTTGCTCTTTTAGTCAATTG